CCATGGCAGCTTTAATGCAATAATCAATGTGTATACAAAGTCAGTTTGTAGTTTATATTGGGAAAAAAGCCTCCTCCATAAATCAAATTTTTAATTTTTTTTATTCCTTCATTATTTAATATATATCTCAAAAGTGTATATATATATATATATTTTTTTTTTATTTTTTTTTTAAATACACTATTAAATAATATAGAATATAAAAGATTTTTAATAAAATTTAATATTATTACAATAATTTTAATCAAAGTTAAAATATTTTCAGTTTCATTTTCCTTTTATGTTGTAAGGACAAAACTCAAAAACAAACGTATTTCCAAAATTAGCTCAAAGATTTTCTACAGCTCACTTTCTTGTAACCCAAGTCATAGCAACTATAATCCATAACTTCAATATAAATTAAACCGGCCTTATACCATAACATAACACTATTCATGACATTTTGTCAATATTTCGACTCTTCGTTTTTATTAGACGAAGAGAAGCTTTGAATTCTTAGCTTATTTGACATTTTTATTATACGGCCTTATCCATATTGTTCATGGTACACATTTCTTTCTTCAAATTCGTCTATATATATATATTAACTTAAAATCGCTATCGATATTTTCGATTAGTTTAAATTAGAAGCTCCCAAAAACACGTTTTCCCATCTTAATCCAATTCCATGCAGCTAATAATTATTTTTTAGTGTTCACCTTTTCGATTTTCTGAAGAGTCATATTTACCCCCTACACTTGTCTATCTAACTAAGCCATTCAATTAATTACCAGAATTTTCTCAAGTATATCCTTTTTTATCAATGACTTATTCTCTTCTTTTCAAACACTTATAAAAGCATTACTCACTCCTCTATTTATTTTTCTGTTTCGAATTTCAGTTTTTATTCGAATATTCTCGTGTCAAATAGCTGTTTTTAATAAGCACAACGAATTAATTGTGGTTTACTTAGAAAAAAAATGTCTGGCTTTCGCAGAATGAAGAGAGTTACTGACCCGTTAGATGAAAAAATGAAGGCTCGAATCGTTGGCAGTAGCGGCAGTGAACACAGTGCTCATGCTGATGATGATGATATTGCTTCTCCTAGTTTCTCCGATCTCGTTTTCGGTGATTTGGAAAATACTGCCGGAGATGAAACTCCGGAGAATGATTCAGATTCTGAGCTTGATGTATCAATGTGTGATTCAATTGACAGGATTGAGATAATGCCCAGCCCTGTTTTCCGCAGCGAATTCGATTTGTTTCGGAATGTGATTGTATCCTGTGCAACGAAGGGACTGGAAGTGTTTTCGTGCTTTAAATCGAATAAATCGATGCTCCAGAGGAATGTAATGGCGTATCTTAGGAATTTCGGTTACAATGCGGCGGTTTGCAAGACGAAATGGGAGAAATCCGGTGGACTTGCTGCCGGAAATTATGAGTTTATTGACATTACGAAATCGGATTCCACTACTCGTTACTTCGTGGATCTCGATTTTAAAGCAGAGTTCGAGATCGCAAGGCCGACGATTCAGTACGAACGGTTATTACAGTCGTTGCCGAATATTTTCGTTGGAAAAAGTGAAGAGCTAAAGCAGATTTTGAGAGCAATGAGCGACGCCGCGAGACGATCGTTGAAAAGCAGAGGCCTCACGTTTCCGCCATGGAGGAAACACCGGTTCATGCAGAACAAATGGTTCAGTTCGTACAGAAGAACAACTAACATCATACCGACGGCGAGCTCGCCGGCATGGTTCTCACCGTCAAAGGAAACGAATGCGGCAAAATGCCGAACCGTCGGGTTTCACACTACCGCCGTGAATGGCTGCCTGTTGTTTCCCGCGACAACTCGTACTAGATGATTAGATAGCAATAATTAATCAAATTTTATTATTATTGATTTATGAATCGTAATTGTTTATTTGCAATGTGTAACGCGACAAATGCACATTGTGTGCACACATAGTCTAGTTGAGATTTCACATGCCATAGATATGGGCAAGGAGCATTTCTTTTATAAGATTAATTCAGTGGTCAGAGCAGCCTAGCGTCGTTGACAACGTGGAAAATCCAGTTTTAAAATTCGGGCGGCCGATTAAAAATATAATATCAGTATTTGTTGGAACATACTATACCTAAAAACTTATTTGATTAACTTAACTTAAATACACGCTTGTTATTATAATATGAGTGAAATACATCGCTAAATTTGAAATATTTTCAATACTTTTCTAAATTTTTATCAAAAATTTTATACTTCTAGCAAAGTTAATTGAAAGTTATTAATAATTTGATGATAAAATTAATAATTAACGGAATTATTCTCTCTATGAAAAATAATATCCTAAACTAGTTTAGTACTCATTACTTTAAAATTCAGATTCATTCGTATTGCCATTTTTCAATAATAATATTAGTGTCGTTAATCTGACAAATCTTAATTGATCAAATAAGTTGGGACATTTGGACATTGAATGACTAAAAAAAAAGTTAATATTGAGGACAAGTGGCTTATATCAGTAGAGTATTTAATAAGACTGAGTTGGAGGAAAATATTAATATATATATATATAATAAAATAAGGTTGTTGAATGGATAATGTGTTTTTCAAGAGATCCGATAGGGCAATAACAATTATTTTAATATATTTTGCCCTTTCAAGAAGATTTGTTTGTTCTTTGCAGGCTTGACTTTAGGGTATTTGTAGAAGCTCAAAGTGCCCTTACTAAAGTTCTTATAGCCTCTCTTTCTTTCTTTTTTGAGGGGTTGGGTTACCTAAAGGGTCAAAATGTAAGGACTTTATGATGCTTTATTTTTTATTTATTTATTTACAAGTTGCAACGTTTTTTTGGTAAAAAAGTTACTTAGATCGAATGTTTATATTGATCGAATTAATAGAGGTATATTGTGTTTGAATGTACTATTTTTCCACATCAAAATATTACTTGATTATGAGTAGTTTTATTTATTTGATGTAAAACTCAATACCTATAAGTTTATACTCCACAATTTGCATAGAAATAGCTGTATTGCTTCTGTTCACCAATAAGTTTATACCCTTTCACAATTTGTGTAGAGATGGCTGTATTGCTTCTGTTAAAGATATAAATATTGTTTTTTTATTTTATTTATTTATTTGTTGGTGGATACTTCCTTGCATGTGGCAAAAGTAGAATAAAAGTGCCACTTGTCTCCTTCTTCTGGTTTATTTTTTAATTATACAAACGTGTTGTTGCTTTAATTTTATTTATTGTTGCATCAATTTATGCTAACAGATAAAAATTTCATTCTTTTTTAAAAAGAAACAAAACTAATTCCTTTCTTTGTCATGTTAAGAAGCGACGTTTCACAATCACTAATCAATATGCTTTTTTTCGTGCCTCTTCTTTCTTTCTTCAATCATGGTTCAATAATTTATTGTCCTAAGCGTAAAGAGACTACTCATGGATAGTGAATACTCAAAGTAAAATGAGATATGCCAGACATTGAGTTGAGGGTTTGTTTTCAGAGTAAATTGCATTCAACGCGAAAAGAATTAACTGTTGGAGTTGAGTTGATAACAGACACAGAATATCGAGGAGTAATTATTTTTTACTAAGCCAAACTGCATGCACCTCAAAATTTCAAGGGGAACTTACTACCTTTCAGCACAACTCTACCCATCAAGCCTAAGACATGAGAAGAAATCACCTAATATTTTTACCTCCAGTAGAATTTGATTTGACCTCATGATCCTCCATCCACTTCTTTTCTAGGTCATTTGTGGTATAGATTGTAGGTTTATCTTTCCCCCTTTGTGCCATTGATGGTGAACATGTTACAAAATCAAGTCAGAAGCTAGTTAAAAGTTTTTTAAATTCTTCACACAAAAGCTAGCTTTATCAAAAAACCATTGTTTCGTTAGATCAACAGTATATCAATGTAACATCTTACAAAATACTCGTGATGGTTTGCTGTACAATTAATGTACAAAAGCACTACACTGTACAACTGAGGTTAACATGAATTACACAGGAAACCATGTTAATACTGAACTATATAGGAAGCAGTTAGGCAGATGACTACCACCAAAAGATGTGTCCTCCGCCCCTATGGTTCTGTTCTTGGTTTCACTAGCACCACCAAGCACATGCGTCCTGTACGCCAAACGAAAAGTTTACTATATCCTATATGCCCAGCCATGCCTATCCAAAAACGCCCGTACAGATTCTTTTATGGCCAGGTTTGGCACCAACTGGGACGGCAAAAGTGGTTCTCTTGTGATTGGATCAAATTTTCCCACCTAAATTGCCAAGCTCAGGATCAGGAACATAAATTAACAAATCCAATGGAAAACAAAGATGAAATGAGGGAGGCGAAACAAATTTACCTTTTGCAAATGCTCAAGGATCACAGCCCGCTCATATGTAAACCCACTCGGAGTAATAACAGGGTCACGAAAAATATCAAGACTAATTTTACAACACAAGTAATCGGGAACCTAGAAATTTTGTTAGTGTTGAAGGTTAATAAAACATACTTGCTTACAAAAGGGGAAAATGACTAACATGATAATTGCTTGAATACTCACCTCAGTTGGAGTATCATCTGCTGCAGCTTTCACGAAAACCTTACCTAGAGCTTTCAGTTGCTTAAAAAGCGCCGTTGATTTTTCATCTTTGAACCCTTCTGTCTGAGAACTGTCAAGCATATGTCTCTCCTTGAGAGCTGACTCACATGATTCTCTGAGCCGCATACACAAGAAAAATCATGGGGAGGCGACCTATGTAATTGGTATAATAATTCAACAAAAGTAACAGAAATTTATAAGCAACATTAGAAGAGCCATTACTTCAAGTTCTGAAGCTCCCAGGAGCGCCTTGTAGATTCATGCTCCCACTCCATGTACTTTGCTTTAGCAAGCTCTTCCCAGATCTCTCCAACAATATATCTTCCTGGATTCACACCTCTTCCAAGGTCTAATGCCTGACAGGATACATAGAAGAGAACTGTATCATCATAATTTATTTATTTTTATGACAAGGGAAACCCGCAGCCGCTACCCTTTGTATGCGCACAGGGTAGAACCCCCACTCCTATGCAATAACTCGCAAACCACATAGGAGAGGTAACCACATAGGAGAGGTAACCGCACTAGACAAGCCTGGAGCGACAAGCTCGACCCAAAAGGCAAACCCCTTGCTTTCCCTGGCAAGGAGTTTCGAACTTGAGACCTCCCGCATGGAAAATCCAAACTCAAACCACTGGGCCACCCCGAAGGGTTCATCATAATTAAGCAGAGCAAACTTCCCTAAAATCATCATTTCAACTAAAATAATTCAGCATATCATCAAAAGAAAAAATGATCGTTGATAGGTTTATCCAGTACTAAAAAGAAGATTTGAATTGAACACAATGATGACAGTATGCTAATTAACATGTTTTAACATACATTAGTTTAGTTTGAGCTTCAAGTAGGTAAGTCTGATTATTGAAGTCAAAGCCAGACCCCAAGCTAGAAGCATTAGCCTTACAGGAGTTCAGTTGTTTCACAGGTTTAAATTGTTCCTTAGGAATTGCAACCTATGGTTCACACTTGGTGGATTGAACTCGATAATTTTAAAAAAAAAACTTACAGAAAGTTTTGGATTGAAATTTTATTTTGATATCTCTGGGTATTGAAACTACTATTTCCAGTTACTACTAGTAAGAGCAACCAACAACGAGCATATAAATTTGCCACAACAAACAAACAACAGTTACCAAGCAAATTTTCTGATAATGCTTCTTGAGGAATTCATTCATTCAAAATAGGTAAGAGGAATAAACTCATTAGTTATACTTGCCATCAACTAGGAATAACTACATCCTTAACATCCACATTTCTTCAAGCTGTGTGTGATCTCACCCTTGAAAAAGAAATGTGAAATGAGCTTAACATTTTCCCAGTAAGCTCACCTCTGCTCCATGAACTATGATTTACTTTGACAATGCATTTTCATAATATGTAAATTCCAAAATATGTAATCCAGAGAACTATCACGTTAAAAACATGCATACAGCCAACACAAAAAGAAATCACCGAGATTTCTTCTGATATGCTTAAACCTTGTTAGGCAGAGTTACTTGGTGTATGTGCTAGTGGAGGTAGCAGATATCTGGTGAAATAGTTTAAGTGCACACAAGCTAGCTTGGGCACCATCATTATCAAAACAAAAGAACGCTAAACCAATTATTCTAGCATAAATACGTGTTCATTTATCTCTTTCACCTCGCCTAACATCTATTTTCCTAAAACTTCAAAGAGCCACGCTTAGATTAGTAGTTCACCACTAAGAGATCCAATTACACATATGAAAGATGATAATGTTGGTTAAGGCCAACATGTTTGACAGAAGCAAGCTAGAAACAGCACATTGGAATTACTGTGCATGATTACTAAGCTCGAAACATGAAGGTGATATTAGATCAGTTTTAGTTAAGGTTTGAACCTAAGCCACTTTTATGGAAAATACAGAGTCAAAAAATAAACAAACGAAATGATAAAAGGTTAAGAAACCTGTTTTCCGACAATCAAACTTGCTAACTTTCAACAGAAAGCATTGGAGTAAAGTAAAGAAAGAAATAGTTGCTGCTCAATGGTGGGCTATGGTATATCACACTTGTAGAGTGAGGAATTGGAAAATATACAGAGGAGTAAATGGACAAAAGGAGCAAGTTATAACAAAGATAAAAAATGAATTCATAGACAGGATAGGTAGATTTCGGGGATCAAAAAAACAGTATAAATGTAGGATTTTTATTCAAACTTTAACTAGTAACTAGCTTTGAGAAAAAGAGAAAAGGTAGAAACGCTGTGTTGTTAGGTGATCAAAGCTGTAATTCTCGTTTGTTATCAATGGTAATGTTCACAGTTGTTCCCAAAAAAATATATCGAGAAATGAGCAGTGACAATAGCAACCGCAATACGTCCCTAATTATATAATTGCATTCGTATTAATTTAGAAAGAGCATAAAAGAGGAAACAATGATAACAAAAGTAAGAATGCATAATGACTGACCAAATTATAAGGGGGGAAAAGACCTACCTTGTCACATCATCATTTTCATAAACATTTTGGTCTGTAGTCTAAACTCACAAACAGATGAGGCTGTTTGGATACAGATTAGACACCGCAGAGAGACAAAGCCACAAAAGTGTGGTGCACCAATGTGATGTATGGACACTTGGAAGACAAATATTTGAACATCTGTAAGAGACATGTATACCTTTTCCAATTCTCTCACACCTTCACCAAATGCTTCCTTTTGTAGCAATGCAAGACCAAGATAATAGTGGGCCTGTTTACCCAGAAATCACTCTTATGTTATTATCTGTAGGGAAAAAACAAGTTCTAGCAACACCAACTAAGAAAGACCATAAATTCAGCAGATAAGAAACATAGATTCTGGAGAAGTATTCAACTTTGATTATGTGGATGTTCTAACATGCTGCATTATTTAAATTTATCAATAATAGTTAACAAATCAACAATCTCCGGGATTTACATCATAAAAATCTCCAGAGTATCTTTACAGTAACTGCTCTCTCGGCAAACTATTTCTCCGATGGAACATTTAAGATTTCATATTTCCATTTTTCCCTCTTCAAACTAGTTACGACCATGAGGGTTTTCAACATCCATGAGAAAAACAAACTAAATTTATTGATAAACTAAAACACATCTAAGTCAACCTTGATAAAAGCAACAACAACAAACCCAGTGTAAACCCTCAAATGCTGTACAGGGAGGGTGATCTATGCGCAACCTTACCACTAAGTTGTCAATGCGAGAGACGTCTTCCATAGACCCTCAGCTAGATAGAGCACTTGTATGAAAACACAAGATTGGAAAAAGGAACATGCAAGCTACATATCACAATGTTTCGTACCTTTACAGAATTATGATCGAGCTGAATCGCCCTCCTGCAATCTTCCTCCACTCTTCTCCAGTCACTATAAATCAACAATCACAATAATACAAACACATCAACCAACATATCATCAAACCGAACAAAAAGAGATCGAAGAAGCACATACTTCCGCCTCCGATGACATAGAGCACGATTTGTCCAATATATCGGAACATTAGGGCACAAAGTAATAGCCTAAAAAACAAAGCATTCAGTAGAATCAAATATCCAAAAAAAAATTTAAAAAAATAGAAAAAGAGAAATATCCATCCATTTTGACCTAACATTCACAATAAAAAAATTACCTCGGTATAAGCATCAATGGCAGCGCCAAACCGATTCTTCTGAAAATAATTGTTCCCATCTTGCTTTAGTTGTTCCGCTTGCTTTGAACCCACGATTGGTGCCATTACTCCTCTACTTTTTCTTTTCCTCTACGATCTTGAAACTACCACAAAGTTCTTAGAATCTGTATAATCAATTGCTACCCTCTTATACACACGAAATTTGCTTCAGAATAAAGGTCGGAAAATTGAAAAAGTAGCCGGCGGGGAGGGGCGGGAGAAGGATGGTCTGTGAAATTTCAAGAGCAAATGTGCGGAAGGAGCAGAAAATTGGAAGCGTATGCGACGCTGCGTCGAAATGCGATAAATTGTTAACTGTGCAACCTTATTGGGGCCCACACTAAACCACCCCCTTTTTTATTCATAAAAAATAAATTAAGAGGTTAATATCACTATATTATAATTTTCTTTTAATTTATTTGTCCAATATATAACGAAAAGTTAGTGTATTAGATCATTCTTCGATTCAAGTTGAACACAAAGTTGTTATGAGAACTATATTGAAGTTATGTGGAAGTCAAGGTCGTTCAATGGGGCAATAAGAGGTTAGTATTGAATTGATTGATTATTCATTTAAAATGATATAATCTTTAAAAATAAGTAGTTGGTGACTATCTTTATAGTCGTGAAAGTTAAACATCTAATTAACATTTTCATAAATTAAATCTAAATATTACTTTATTTAGATAAATATATTCATGTTTGACAGAATCACACAATCGCTAATTGGTTCTAAATATTATAGTTTTTGTCGTTGCCCATTCCTAAACATTTTTTCTCTCAAATTTTGTTTGATTTTTCTTTTTTTTTTGGATAACATAATAATAGAATATATATAAAAAATAATTTTTGAAAAACGTTTGACTTGAGAGTGGCAATTCAAAGGAAAGTCCTCTTGACTTTTCATTGGAAATTTACAGCATGTGGACTCATGCCAACTCAGACTAATTATAGGCCCACGGCCCGGCTCCCTTTTATATGATATAATATACGTAAAAATTTAAGGAATTCCATAGTGTAATTTAATAATTACACTTTATCTTGATAAATTTAGTATTTACTAAAAATTTCTTAAAATTTTTGTGTCGTGATACTTTAGACTCTAGTGATACATGGTAAATGATACATGGTAAGTTTAAACTGTTGAGAAAAAAATGGGGAAAATGGTACATTTAAACTTGTTAACTAAAATAGCTTAATTTACGGTAACAAATCATTAATCAGCATTAAATTAGCAAGTAATTGGATATTAATTTTAAATTTTGAAAATCAAAGGTTATATCATCTATTTTGAATACATTTTTTATGAACAATCTATTAAACTTCGAACTGCAATAATTTTATTTTCAAAACCGCATGATACATAGAAAACATTATGATACACAACAAATTCATGTATCAATGCATCATCTAAAACACTATACACACTGATTCAAAATGTTCAGCAAGCACACTTGATGGATTCAAAATGTATCAATGCATCATCTAAAACACTATACACACTTGATGGATTCAAAATGTATCAGCAAGCACACTGATTCAAAATGTATTAGCAAACACTTCATGTATCAATGCATCGTCTAAAACACTATACACACTGATTCAAAATGTATCAGCAAACACACTTGATGGTGCAGTTATTGAAATTAATCACTGATACATGATAAAAAATTTCAAAAACCCTTGATACATAGGAAATCATATGATACACATCTAATCAAGTATCAAATCATAGACTAAACATTATAATCCACTTAGTACTTATGTATTAAACCTATTGTCTGATACATGATAATAATTTTCATAATTTTTTGATACATATTGGATTCCTTAAAATTTTTACTAATTTCAACAACAATTTTAAAATAAGTATGAAAATCAACGAAGGCATTATACATTAGTTTAAGAAACAAAATCAACTAGATACATTAAATATGAAATCATATGTATTATAAAGGATGAACTACAAAAATAGAGAAAAAAAATCAACAATTGATCTGTTGAAAGCAAAAAGAAACAAATGACCAAGGAGTCCCCTACACTTTTATCTTTGCTCTATACCAACTTCTGTATCTTTGTCTCACTGTCAACAATGGAAAATGATTTCATCAGCAAAAAAGGATCCCTGGAAACGATGATGTTGCAAGGAGCAATGAGGATACATCATCTCTTTCACTTTTTTCTTATACATTTTGTAAATGTGGAAAGGGAGGAGATCTGATATTTCTTCGGAAAAAATTGTGAACCGAAAACTTACTTGGTTCTTGAAAAATCTTATGGAGAGAGATCAAATCTAAAAATTAATAAAATGAAGGAAGTAAAGATTGAGGGAGTGAAAATAGGAAGAGATTAAAGGGAGTGAAATAGGGAGGAATTAAGGGAGTGAAATTAGGAACAGAAACGTGTTTTTGAATGTGAAACTTAATGTATCTAGAACAATGAGATTTGAAAGGAAAAGAAGAGATTTTAGAGATATTTTAAAATAGTAGGGAATAATAAAAATTATAAAAAATAAAGGTGTGTATTTAAGTAATTTATTCATAATATACATCATGAAATTCATCCTTTTGAACTACGTTAAAAAATTTATATTATTGAATTTTTAGATTCTAAATTTCTAATACATTGACTTTAATATTTCGTTTCCAACAAATCACAGTCAAATTCATGAATTGCGCAAAAAATATTCATACAATCAAACTAGTAGGTATTTGACCATATGATATTATATTACGATATAATTTTGTGAGATGGAATCAACATTTAGATATATGATTGATTATATGTGAATTTCATATCATGAGATGTGATTCAATTTTCTTCAAAAATCATAATATGGAATTATTTGAGAATTTCATATCATGATTTGAATTTAAACACTAAAATCGGTTTACAAGTTTATATTTTGTTAAAATAACCCCACGGACTTTTAGGATTTGGAAAAGTACATTCAAATTACTGAAACTAGGCATGAACCATTTTGATATTGATACACGAGAGAAAATTGTCATAGTTTGTGCTATGTTACATATTTATTTGCATAAAGGAGTAATAAAATATTTAAGATCGATGATCATGAAAATATAGTTGCGGATGATATTAACAAAAAAATGACTCACAACAATAATGATGGTTTGTCTTCTCAGTCATATGATCGAGAAATGCAAGTTCAACGTGAGGAAGTTGTCATTATAATGCGGAAGGATTATATTAGAGAGTAATGCATTGAATAAAAAGTTTGATAAAACAGTTACTTAAGTGGAAAACAAGTAACTTTGTAACAATTTATAATGAGATTTTGATAATTTTTTATTTATTCGGTAAGATTGATTAAACAATTGAATTATTTTAATAGTTTTACAACTTATATGATCATTATGTTTATGAGAACTTTCATATTGTATGTCCAAATAAAACTTTAATTTCATCTCGTAATTTCATATTATGATATTGTTTCATGATTTCATATCACGATATCATATCGCATGCTCAAACGAACACTAAATAAACCTATTATTACCAGTTAAACTATACTTCTATATGGAGTAGTATTTTTATTTACAATGTTATCACGTTATATAAGTGAAGGATTTCCTTCTCTATATAAAATATCGAATCCCCAAAATCCAGCATCTCTGCAAATATGGCTTCTCTTCTCCATCTTCATTTCATCTTCCTCATTGCATTTCTCTTAATTTACCCTGCAATATCTAACAATTGCTCGTCTTCTCCGGCGCCGATCTCCGGTAACACTCACTTCGCCAACTGCACCGCTCTCCCTTATCTGAAATCGTCTCTTTACTGGACTTACAATTCAACAAATTCGACACTTGCAATTGCTTTCGTTGCTCCTCTGCCTTCTTCTGATGGCTGGATTTCATGGGGAATTAACCCAATTACCGCATCCATGATCGGCACTCAATGTCTTATCGCATTCAAAGCTTCAAATGGATCCATGATTGTTAA